AGGTATCTAGAGGAATTCACTACTGACTAAGAGTGAATAGACCACAGGCCCAGCAGAGACCCTTCAGATGAAGAAAAAAGTGCCTTGCTTTGGAGGCATAATATCACAGAATCCCACATCATTAGGTATCTTGAAAATATCTAATGGGAATGGAACCCCTTTCCTTCCAGACATGAGATTTATTTCTATCATAAGCAAGCTATCATCGTAACGTTTATTTCAAGTTACTTGTTCCTAATGAACAAAGAATTAAGCTTCCCAACCTAAGCTGGTCAGAAAATATTTGCCGTTTTCAAAAGATGTTCTGATAAGACTGATGTTTCACACACATATACAGACACGTGACAATCTTAATTCTAAAAGCAGGAAAATATTTCCTTCTTCTTTCAAACTGGAACATTTACATTTCTTTTTAATTTTCTGTTGAGTGTTTTATCTACTTTTTTTTTGCATATTAGCACTGCATGTCAGCAGTAATAAGCAATAATAACACACAGCCCTGCTACCACTAATAAATTAAAACAGGGCCACACCACATTGGAAGTGTTTCATTAGTTTGAATGGCAGCTTAAACTACACACTGACTGAAACACCATATCTATACGTCTAAATGAGAGTATCCCATTACACTGTAATGAAATAATTTGACAATTTTCTTTTCAAAGTTAGCACTGTGATTAATTTTCCTGACACTGAAATGATTGACTTTGGAGATACAAAGAGCTGGGGAAGGAGGAACTTCTCTATAGGAGTCACTCACTACAGTTAATCTGAAATTCTTTTAAAATGAGGTGGAGACTATTGGACATGTTTATTAAAGATGAGAATAGCCTTCATTCAGTTTCATTCAGTTTTCTTTAGAGGTAAATTGCATCAAATGGATATAATTTGAACTGTTAATTAGCACATCAAAATAAAGGCTTCATAGTAAATTTTATGATGTCACTTTTAAAGTTACAACATTTTTAAATTCAGATTAATATTCAAGAGTCACCCTGAGCAGAGAAACCCTGTTGTTAAAACCCACAAAATCACAGATTACTCTCTCTCAGCCTCTTAATGCTTGATTGAAACACTTTTTGGATAAAAAAGCAAGACATATTTGTTGTTGCATGACAAGAACTGTTTCTATTATGTTTTCATTCAATTTGAAACTGATGTATTTAAAATCTTCTGAGTTTAATGCATTGTGGGCATTACAAGTTCCAGCTGGGACACTTCCATGTTATTCCAGTTGCCCACTGAAAGAATTTGACTTTAATTTTCCTGGGCAAATAATTATTTAACATAGAAGTACCAACTGGAACACTCAGTCAGCGTTCCTAGTGGGTTTCATTAACATGAAATATTGGATTATGTAGCCAATTACAGGGCTGACTTTTTAATTAATATGTTAATTCCATGTTATTTTGTAATCAACTTCCCCCTTGCTCAACCAAAGCTCAAATCATTCTCAGAGTCTGCCTTCACTGGAGAAATAGATGTTGGTATACAATTTGCTTTGAACCTTTTGTGATGAAAAGCTCTTAACTGCTTATAAAAATGGTGTGTCCACAGTTCATCATCTGAGTACTTTCAGTTTTGATAGGTGTCATTTTTTCATCCTCTCCCACTACAGCCAGAGAGCCTCACTCCTCCTCCCTTCCCTTTTCAACAGCAAGCACTTAAATATGTCAACATCTGCCCACCGATGGAAACATGATCAAAGATGACTGTTTGTTACTTCTGATTTGGTGACGCTTAGTCCTTGTGTTGTTGCAGGGTAAGAGATAAACAGGTTCAGACAGGTAAATGTGGCCGTAATAACCCCTACGGGCCATGCAGATCCCAGGGAAAGCCAGAAGCCATCTGATCTCAAGACTGCAATTACTCCTGCCTGTGATAGCCATTCAGAGTTGGAATAATTTTTCTTTTTCATCAGAAAAAGGTGGAGTTAATTTTATTCTACAGTTATCCAGAGCAGACTACTAGGGTCTGATTTAGGTGTCTAAAATAGCATCCTTGCCCAAAAGTGCTGGGACTCCAGAACACCCTTCTAGAAAAAATAATTACATTAGAGATACCACTTGCTATTTTCATAACATGAAAAACAACATGTAATTTCATGATTAATGCAAATTGATAAGCACAGACACCATATCCAGACAGCTCTTGACAGTCTTGCAGCTGTACTGGTCTTGCTCTTTTTAGTTCACTTCCTTGGGAGAACCATAGTTTCCCACATGGGCACACAGAGAGTAACAAAACTTCTCTGTAAATATCTAGTCAAAAGCAGCTTTCCCAGAAGTGCATCATTCTATTTTTGCTAGACAATTAGTAATGCCACATTGAGGCCAATGACAGAGCGCAAGATTCAGCTACCTGTGTATGTTTGCATCCGAGATAATAACCCTCTGGATGAATAAATAGTAGCATGTCCAGTGTCCCAAAGAGTAGACTAAAAATTAAAAAACAAACAAACAAACAAAAAACAAACTTCCTTTCACTTGATAGCATCTAGCACTAAACTACATTTCTCTATTCCCAAAGCAAGTTTTGGGGGAGCCATTTCAGGTCTAAAATACAGAAAAGTCAATACACGGGAGATAAAACTAGCATGGCGGAATTGCCACAGCTGTGTCAAACCTTAACAAACCAAATATTCACATCTGTTGCCAACATCTCATTGACCGTAATAATATACATTTGCTGGCCTACTGTCTGGCTTCCAGAGAATAGTCATATGTCAGTCAGCTTCAGGAGGACGCATAATTCTCCTGTTTACAGGCAGTTAGTCACTTCGAGGTTTCATCCCAAAAAGAGAACTTTGAGAGTATGAAATCTTCTCAAAGCTTGTCAATAATGAGGAGCCTCCTGAAATGGTCTTTGTATGGCAGCAAAAGAAGAAAAACCTACCAACAGCTCATACTTTGTTTTTACCCCTTATTGCCCCTCCATGATGCTCCTAGAACAAGACCTCATGATTACCTTCACTAGAAGGTAATTCTTCTAGGGGGGTAGTTTCTGCAGAGCCTGGAAATGTGGGAACCTCCTCCCATCACCACCCTTCCTCCTTTCCTTTCCTTTCCTTTCCTTTCCTTTCCTTTCCTTTCCTTTCCTTTCCTTTCCTTTCCTTTCCTTTCCTTTCCTTTCCTTTCCTTTCCTTTCCTTTCCTTTCCTAAAAAAAAAGTCCTTGGTTTGTACATGTGGAAGGCTGACTGGAATCTCAGCATTTCGCTCCCCCTGCACCAAACCTAAGCAGTTCTCTGCGCAGTGTTATCACCACAGGATAACACCAAGTTATAAGAAGTTTTATATGAGGAGTTTGCTCTCTGTATTTTGACATTCTGTAGAAAGCAGTAGGATTTATCACTCAGCTTTATCAATACCTTTCAGACATGAATAATCACTTCCTTCCACAGATTATTTTTTTCTTTCTCCAGTGGTGTAATAAAAGCAGTACAATATCTTACATACAAGATCTCACACCCAATGTAATGATTGGGCATATTCTTACCATTTATTTTATTTTAGATACCGAGGATTTGGTTCAACTACAACTTGGCTGTTTATCAAATTAAGGTTAAAGCTATAAACTTCTAAACTATAAAAAAGCTTCATGACCAGTCTGGTTCCAAAGCACTCTCTTCCACATAGATTCTTTAACATTTAATATGAGTGAGTTTATCAGTCCCTCCATCAGTGAGAATACTGCTAGCAATTTGCTCTTCCAACCAGCTGCCTATTTTCATTAAAATTAGAGGAATGCAAAGTTCTGCTGGGAAAAGCAACTGACCAAAGAAATAACCAAAGCCAGGAGGGGGGATAGAAGAAGAGAGCATGACTGTGAAAGCCTCGTTTCCTTGGGAATCACAAATATTTAAAATGTTATTACTGGAATTTGAACAGTTAGTAAATTTAATTTGCCTTACAAACATTTACTGCTATTTCATGTTATCACTAATGGATTGTTTTAAGAGTCATTGTGGATTTGGGATGCATCCCCTGTTCATGTTAAGGCTTAGGGGAGATCTTATAGCGGCCTTCCAATACCTGAAGGGGGCCTATAAGAAAGCCGGGGAAGAACTTTTCGTTAGGGCAGTTAATGACAGAACAAGGGGGAATGGCTTTAAACTGGAAGAGGGGAGGTTTAGATTAGATATTAGGAAGAAGTTCTTTAGTGTGAGGGTGGTGAGACACTGGAACAGGTTGCCCAAAGAGGTTGTAGATGCCCCCTCCCTGGAAGTGTTTAAGACCAGGGTGGATGAGGCTTTGAGTAACCTGATCTAGTGTAAGGTGTCGCTGCTCATGGCAGGGGGGTTGGAACTGGATGATCTTTAAGGTCCCTTCCAACCCAAACCATTCTATGATTCTATGATTCTATGATTCTATGTTCTATCAGTCATCTCTTTACATGTATGAGCGGGTCCCTCGGGTCCTTGTATTGACAGAATTTCAGAGTATTTTACCACATTAGATATTTTCTGTAATTCACAAAATAAATCTGCTAAAGATGGATTATTCTTGCCTGAGTAGAAGAAAAGACACTGTTATAAATATCAAAAGCATTCCCAGAAAGTTGTAAATTAATATTGTCCATCAATTCTGTTCCAATTTGTAGCTTTTTTAAACAGTAAAAAAAATAACTGGAAGACTTTCAGTAGGTCTTCTAGATAGTTCAAGGTATCCACATTTTCTCAACAACTTGCTTTTTTTAATATAAAAGAAAAAAAAAAACAAAAACCAAACCCACACTCTGTTCTACCTGTAGTATTGAGTGACTATCTTTCCCCAGGAACAAAAGCTTTCTGACCTGAAGCTATGCTTGTACTCTAACCTTTTGGCTGTGTTCCCTCTTAACCAGGAGTATGTCTCTACTCGTGGAATAGCAGTTGCAGCATTAGGATGAAATGCAAGAACTTTCACTGTAATTGAGACTTTGTAGATAAAATTATACCTAAGCTATCTACTCATCTATCAGATCCAGAATTATCTTATTGATATTTAGAAGTGATAGATAATATTTATATTTAAGACAGATAGATAGCTCTGGCTCTAACAGGTAGATAGATTAGATACAAATTTTATCCAGAAAGTACATTACATTCACAATTTATGTTCTTTGTCCTGAGCATCCAAAGTTTGAATATTTTTAATCTATTTTGAGCTATTTGTTCAAGCTACTGATATTTTCCTGATCTTTTAACTTCACTTGCAAATACTACCATGGTACCAGTATTCCAGAATAGTGAGTATTCTTTATTCTTAATGATTCCCTATAGTAGGCAATATTATTTCTCACCATATTTCTCACCCGTGAATGCCCTATTTCTTTTATTTGTTGCAAAATCTGACATAGGGTTTGATACATGAAGAACGGTTAGTTTGTAAATTCATATCTTGCATTTCAGACACCGCGTCTATTATTTTTTCAAGATATACATGAGAAAATAACTCTTGGCTAATAACTCTGTTGATTTCTACTAAAAACTATCAGTTAAAATCTCTGAATGGAACTTACTATCAGAAAACTCGAGTCCAGACATGAAATACTTCCACTAGAATCACAGACGCTGTAAACATTACATTAAAGATAGCTAAATCAGCCAAATAGTTCTTTAGAACTCCCCTGCAGCTAAAGTAATATAAATTATGGTTTGTTGCTAGAAAAAGCTGCTGGGTTTTTTCAGCTGGGGCAAGAAATGAACATGTGCTGTCCTGAGAAAAGCATGCAGTAGGGCTAAAGCACTTGCATTTTACACTGAGGTAAACGCATCAAGGCCAGCCCTCTCTTCCTTCCCAGTGTTCACTCCAGCACGTACACCTCCCGATAAAAGAAAAGGGCCACATTTTCGCTGTGTTTTCGCTAAAGCTCACTTTAATTTTAGCTACAGTGAGGTAAAAGGGGAAAACACTAAATTCACAAAGTTTGAGATGACCCTGCCGCATCGCGCTAGCAGCAGTTTGTCTCTCTACATCTCAGCAGATGCGAAGAGGAGGGAGTTTGCTGGCGAGAACTGGAGCAGGGAAGTCCCAACAGCAAGGTGCCGGGCCACAACAAAGCACGGAGCTACAACTCTCTTACCTTGGCTGGTGGGCTCCCCATGGCATGCAAGATGGCGACAGCAACAGAAAACCCAACGTGGGTAAAACAGACCCGTCAGCTGACTGAGACGCTCGCAGCTTGTTGTTGCTGCTGAAATCACCTGAAGAACACATATAATTTATACAGGCACTGAGCTCCACCCTCTGCCTCCTCTGTGTGGAGAAGAGTCTGCCTACGTCTGAGAGGGAAAGATTTGCAATGTCAGAGGTGAGAGGAAAGCTGCAGTTACCACATCTTTGATTGTCACTTCATTACCTCTCACAATTTGTTATTGCCCCAATATTGTCCTGCCATTGTTTTTGGGTGGATTCTTCCACGTTCAGAAATTCTTCCTTCACTCCCCATCTCTTCCATCTATCTAGTTGGTAGCTGAATTTTCAGTAGCTTTTAAGATTTTACACTCCAGAAAAAAAAAAAAAAAAAAAAAAATCAAGGGAAGGGGACCGATGGATCTCATCTATGAAAATTTCTGTTGGAAAACCAATCCACTTCTGAATGTTCTGTTCAACTCTTCCTACATTACAGACTAGTTTTTCTGTATTACTGGGAATCTTTCTGCCAACCAGTAAATCAAAACTCCTTATTTTGAAGTACCTACTGGATTGTTACCTGGCCAATGCAGAGATGCTGGTGAAATTGAGAAAAAAATTTGTGGGGAAAGGGAAATCTGCATACCTTCTGGGCTTTTCCCTTCTACACACATAAGAATATGACAACTTGACATCTCCCAGCTTCCCATTGTCTTCCCGATCAGCTTTCTGTTGACAGTGGTGGGTCTTAAGGTGTCCTCTAGAGATGGCACAGATCTGGCTTCACAGAATCACAGCATTATGGAATGGTGGGGGTTGGAAGGGACCTCAGATTATCTAGTCCAACCCCCCTGCCAAAGCAGGTTCCCTACAGCAGGTTACACAGGAAAGCGTCCAGGTGGGTTTTGAACATCTTCAGAGAAGAATACTCCACACCCTCTCTGGGCAGCCTATTCCAGTGCTCCGTCACCCTCACAGTAAAGTTTTCACTTAAGGTTGACTGGAACATCTGGTGTTCCAGTTTTTGTTCATTGCCCCTTGTCTCGTCACCAGCCACCAACAAAAAGAGCCTGGCCCCATCCATTTGGCACTCACATTTCAGATATTTATAGACATTGATCAGATCCCCTCTCAGCCTTCCCTTCTCCAGGCTGAACAGTCCCAGCTCTTTCAGCCTCTCCCCATAAGGCAGATGCTCCAGGTCCCTCATCATCTTTGTGGCCTCCACTGGACTCTCTCCAGAAGATCCCTGTCCCTCTTGAACTGTGGGGCCCAGAACTGGACACAGTTCCTTCCTCCACCTCTCCCATGCCTACTGTGGACTGCCGACAGACAACCCATCTGGTGCCTGTCAGGACATGGCTCCAGGCCATCTGTTCTAGCTGTAACTTCCACACTTGCAGTTTCAAGTTGGATGTCATGCCGAATCAGACTTGGAAAAGGCCTAGAGGCCACCACAAATTTGCAGTAAGATATGCCCTCACTGGGGGACAATAATATCAGATAGGACCAAACCTCACCAAACAACCAGCAGACACCTTACACTGATGGAAAGGGAGAGTGTCAGGAGTTAATTTTCATCGAATAGTAGTTATGAGTTTGGCTTTTGGCAAAAGAAGGAAAAAAATGAAATGTAATCCCAAACATTGTTTAGGAAAATAGGTTTACCTGAAATCTTTGGCTTTAGATTTTTCTTGAAACTCAGATGTACACTGTGGATCACCTTTAAGCCACTTTTTAAAGCATTTTTCACAAAAAAAAAACCTGTCACCAACTGAAAATCAATTCCAGTCAGATGCTCCTGGGCTTATGCAAGAATGACAGATGCACTCAACCCCCTTAACCAAACTCTCAGCAGGCTCCAAAGGAGGTAAAGGCCTGAGCTGTGGTTGGGCTGTGAACTCCCCTGGTTTCAATCTGTTCTCTGAAAACCCACAAAGAAGCAGAGTGACACAGTGAGCATCGGTGCATATAAGCTTGGATCACCAATCAGGCAACAATACATGAATAGCAGGTGGCTTTTCCATGGCTCATTTATCAAGGATCAAAGCAAGTTGTGAGTACAAGGAGTCTCACACATACCTTTTCCATCATGTGTAATTTGACTACAAGCCAACACTTTATCCCATAAATATGACAGCCTAAGTGAGTCTTCTTTGAGGTCTCCCTGCTAGACAGTGTGGCTGCATGGCAGTGATCTCCCCTTGAGCTGGGACACCTCTCAAGGTTGGTCCCCAAGGCAACGAGACCTTTAACCAATGACAGATTGTTGGATGAGCCCAATTTGAGTTCTCCCTGGGTGGCAACTGGATGGCACACCAGGCGACTCTGCCCTTGAGCAGGGACACCTCTCAAGGTTTGAGATTCCTTACCTGAGACTAAGAGATCCTTCCTTACCCAAGGCAAAGAGACTTCTTATTCACAACAGATCCTGAGTAAGTGATTAATAGCATGCTGAATCAATACTAATAAAATCCATGTGTCTAATTCCATTAAACATAAACCATTGACCAAGTCTGGGACTAAGTCTGGAACCAGCCACACCTAGACTCCTCTCTGAGAAGGAGTTTAGAAAGCAAGGGGCTCCATTCTGAACCTTGTGACTCAACAGGGGGGTCACCTTTACCCTTTTAATCTCCAGTCTCTCTGTGATTCATTCTAACTAGAGTGTAACTCAGTTTTCCTTTATATGTTTCTTACACGTGGTAATTATTAGAGTGAATCTTGCCATCGAACTTTGTCACGTTTTACTTTTATAACATCATATTAAAACCATTTTTGCTAACACCTTTGACAGTGGTTCTTTAAGTGATCTAAATCACCATCTCTGTCAAATTATTATTCTTCAATAAAACTTATTGCTGCCCCTCTCTTTGAGTGAGGTGCCTTCCACTCATTTCCTTGACAGCAAGTGACAACCAACATCTCAAACTGACATGTCACAATGACTCTGCTGTGGCTGGCAGTGCAGTCACTGTGCTAGCAGTAAGGACTAGATGCAGGCTTACCCAAGCAGCAGGGTTAGAACTTGAGGGCTTTGTTAGGTTGCCATCTTCGAAATACTAAAAAGAAAGATACTTCAAACAACGTCTGCTGTATATGTGCAGCAAATCAAAGGGCAGCTACAAAATTACCAGAAAAATAAGCCATACTCATCAGAAAGCAATGTAGGGTTCAGAGCAATTAACCATGCAAGTCTTGCGCTCCTGCAGTAACATCATTTTGACAGCCTCACTTGGGCATTTTTACAGGAGTAGTCAAGAACTGTGGTGCAAGCATTCCCCTCCATGCTTCCTTGGACACAGGAGTCTGTAGCATCCCTGTTCCAGAAAAAAAAGTGGAGAAAAAGGACAAAAAGCTCTTATTCAGAGTGGAGTTTTGGTTTTCCCCCTTTATATTGCTGTTGCAGCTTTGACCATAGGTTCTGCTGCTGTAAAGAACTGAGAGACCAAAATAGTAGGCTGACAAATTTACCTCCTAAAGACAAGGCAAAAGGAAAAACCATCAGAGAAAAATTAACTTCACTCAAAGAGGGGTATGTCTGCCTGGAAACGGAGCAACACATTAAAAACAGAACAGCTGCAGCAGGGAGACCCGGGTCTCAACGGAACAGGAAAGAAGGAAAAAAGTTCCCAGAATGTCTTCAAATCAAGGTGCAAAAGTTACTTTGGAGAGCTATGGAACTAATTTTTCCAATAGCCCCTCCAAGAAGTTAATGCTTCCAGTAAATCAGCATGACCAAAATACATAAAACATTTTGGGTTGCTTGTTAACAAGCACGCTGACAAGTACCACGTCCATTTCCTCCTGGACACAAGGGAGATGGGCTACGTGATGTCAGGCCTTACTATAGACACAAAAAATGTACAGTATGGGGAAAGTAAGACAGTCAACTGCATAAAGAAGGAAGGACAAAACTAAATGGTTAAATATAAAGCAAAGAGGGCACAGCACACTGCATGAGTGAACTAACTAAATAGTAGGCAATATCTTCAAGGGGTACAGAAAGTCCTCCTCCCCTTTTTAGACAGAGGACACAGTCATGTCAGGCTTATACTAGCAGAGTTAGATTCAGAAAATATGACTCTGTATCTGTGGTTTCAGTTTGTAAAAGGCTGTTCAGGAGACAAAGAGAAGAGGGATTGTAGAAAGATTTTATGGGTTAAGTAAGTTGGTCTCATTCCACCTTTATGACTGAATCTCATTTCTTTTCTGAATTAATATTAAGAAAGTACTTTGAAATAAGCTGGGGGGGGGGGGGGGGAAGTTAAAATGCTTGAAAGAACGCGGGGGGGGGGGGATATAAAAAGATACATCAAATGACACTGAGGTTAAATTGCTACTGTTATTGCTACCTGCACTGAGGTTAAATGCTACCTGTTGGCACTCGGATAATGCACACAAGAGACTAAGTGAAACAGAATCAGAATAGAAGGAACACAAGCCCATGGTGCTCCCAGCACTCAGCTTTATGCACCTTTATGTTCACTAACAGCCCCTTGCAAGAAGATACTCAGAGTCACAGCTGAGCTGTCAGATTTGGATTATCCTACTGCTGGCATAAACTTAAGTGCTAACTGGGACAGGACTTACAAAAGGTACTGAAGACTCATTAGTGGAGTTCATTATTTACCCCAGCAGTGGCCACAGCAAAATTTCATACAAATATGTCTCAGATTTGGTGTGCAAAAACTGCCTTCAGTGAAGCACTGCCTTCATAGTCTTTCCATGCTTGACAATAACAGCTTCACAAGCAAGGATGGCAGTTACTGAAACATCCTCCTATAAATATAAATCTCCTATGATTTTGTTTGAGAACATTTGTTTATTCATCCCATGAAAGCTGTTAAGTAGAGATACATGATGGATCTTCCTGGGGCTAGCTGCAGCCACCCCATTGAGGAGATGGAGGTAGAAGACTGTGCAGCTTTGCGGAGACTTCTCGCTGTGACAGACAGTGACAATGTCTCATAAATC